TGTTATCAAATGTTTATAAATTATATTATGATTGATTGATTAACGATTCATGTCTTCAGAATTTAAAATTGCAGCATGAATTGTTTGTAAAATGCTAAAAATGAATTTGGTAAAAAAAACTCCAAATTTTCGCTACACTTAGGCGTCTTAAAATATAGGGGCAGGAGTATTGAAAAACATTTCATATAAGGATATATTATTGACAATTTTATTATAAATGCGCTATAACTTTGAATCAATAATTAAGGACTTTCGTAAAATATTTTCTAGCGCACTTATTTACCCAGCAAAAAAAGTGTAAAAAAAGATGTAGAATTTTCATCACAACCCAGCAAAAAAAGTGTGGAAAAAGATGTAGAATTTTCATCACAACTAGTAACCCGAAGTGCTTCAAATTCAGGTGAAAAAGCTATGAATTTTACATTAGCGTGTCATTGGAGGGATGTTGTTCATTTTTGGCAACTTTGAACTACATCAGATCTTATTTTTAGAAGCAGTAAAAATCCGAGAAATTTTATCAATTTTGATAGACTTTAGTTTTGTTTGTTTGTACTTTAAGTTTGCTTAATAATAATCGAAAGATTATAACGCCAACACCAATTATTCCAGTACGACTGGACAGCATATGAAATTTTTGGTTCTAGACCCTAATCAAAATTAAAACTTAAGTTAACAAGAAAGCATATGGCCAACATGCACTTAAAAAAACCGTAACTCGGTACTGTTATTCGGCGTCACATATTTCACCAATGGGGTTCGAAACGTAAAACTCTCGAAGGCAGAGCAAAAAGGACGGCCTGATTTCCCTTAAGCGATAATGGCAACGACGCATGACGATCTTGCTCCACCCAGAGCTGAATTACGAATGCATTTGTTTATTATCTGTTTAATTTTACAAATATGATTTAAAATACTTTTGCATGGAGTTCTTGCAAACTAACTTGGTATGATCTCTAGTAAATGTATGTATATTAGATGTTTCAATTATTCGTATGCAAAACAAATTCTCAAAATTCTCTCTCATTCAAATCATTTGATCAGTGGAAATACTCTAAAACATTATAATGTTTAATTTTATTAATATTTTCATTGGATATTCTAAATACATACATCGACTTTCTTTAAAATTATAGATAGAAAAATGATAAAATGTATTTAAATTAGTACAAAAATCTTATTTCAAAAAATCGTCAAATTTAGAGTTAAAATCGTCAAATCGTCAACAGGCCATTTTCGACAGTGAAAATCGTCAAAAATTTTTGAATGTTTCAGTTTTTTACGTTCAATATCACGTGAATAAATTCGCATTCAGGGATATTTTTAGTTCCATTCGTTAAGCTTCCACATTATAGAAAATTTCGAAATTACTATTTAAAAAAAATGCTATAAAATACCTCTTATTTAATCAAAAAATTTATGTTTCTGTGTTCAATATTATAGACAATTCAAAAAATATAATTTGATGAATGAAAAAGTACTAAAAGTCCCTTTCAGTAGATTCTCATTCACTAAGGTCCCTATATTTAAAATTTTATATTTCTATGTTCAATATCGTAAAAATATCAAAAAGTACCATCGAAAAAACGAAAAAGTACAAAAATCTCTCTCAATAAATTCTTATTTAATAAGGATGTGTTACGGTTAACCATTATAGAGAAACCAAAAGGTACCATTTGAAGAATGGAAAACTACCAAAGAATACCCACTTACAGAATATTATTCAGTCAAGACCATGTATGTTAAAATGTATGTTCCTGGGTTGAATATTTTAGAAAATTCAAAAAGTACCATTTATCAGAAAAAAAAGTACTAAAAAGTTCTCTCTTAAAGAATCTTAATCAAGGAGGGCCGTGTATGTTTAATAATCATGTGTTTTGAATTCATATTATAAAACATACAGAGTATTATTTGAAGAAAGAAAAAGTACCAAAAGTGGAATAAATTCTACCTTAGTGGAAAGTAATAATAAAAATAATACAATTTTTCCCCTTTTCGCTTAGAAATATACTTTTTTGAGAATTAAGTTTACAAAATGTTCCGTATTTAAATCTATATATCACAGATACAACTCAGACGATTCAAATTTGCATTCATTTGTTCCAAAAAAATTGTGCTTTCAAAAAAGTTCTACTCGAATTCCAAAATAATATACACTCCCGCTCACTTAAATAGGTTTACTGTTTTGTTTACAATCAAATTAATTGTTTGCAAAAAATAATGGACTAATACTACGTTCACACTTTCGTGTTTTTTGAAACACATGATGTTTTTTCAAAAAACACTTCAAATTCGCCTCTTTTTTCCATACACTTTTCAAGTTCAATAACATCTCAATTCGACATGTTTAATTATAAAATACATAATGTTTTTAGAACAGGAATGATTTTTTTCGTACTTTTGTTTAATGAACACAGCTAGAACAAAAAGTAATGTCAAAAATAAAAATTGAAATTGTAAAAATATTAATATTGTTGCTGAAAAGATTTTAAATTTGTTTTAGTTTAATAAATAATTGTGTTTAAATATTAAATTTAGTGTAATTTAAGTGTAAATCTTAATTTTTAAAACAAAATGTTTAAGACAGAAAAACATTTCAAAGCAAAAAACACGGTAATTTAATATGTGAACGGTTGTGTTTAAACTCATTGAGTTTTTCCAAAAACACGTTAAAAACATGGATATGTGAACATAGTATAATTAGTAATATTAAAATTTTAAATAGTAACATGATGTCTTATATATCACTAAATAGACAAACATTAGTGCAATACTTAATAACCGATTTTTACTATTTTTTTTTTTTTTTTTTCTAAAATACTACGTTTTTGAACAAAATTTTTTGGCTCATTTGAATAGGTTCATCATCTTTAATTGACAAAAACTACAACAAAATGAATTTTTTCATGAAACTTTTTTATTTTTATAAACATTTTTACAAGGTTTTAGAAAAGATTTAGTAAGGAACATATCCGCCGTTACTTGATATAGCTCCGAAAACTCGAGATGATAAAAAGTTATAAAGATTCTTAAGTAATGGCAAGGAAATTTGTCAAATTCATAATGTTATTCGCAATTTTATAAGAAAACAGTCTGAATATTAAGAAAACATAAATTGAACTACATATGGAGTCATAACAAAAGCGGACAGAAGAGATTTCATAAAATTTGCCTCCAAGTCAAGTGATTCTGCAGCAAAAATTAAAGAAAAAGTGCGTGTTACAGCAAGCGAATTGTAAGAAGGGCCAAGGATTTAAAAATATTAAAAAATAATTAAAACCCATTCCAATTGCCACTCGTAAAGAGAAAACCTCTTCAGTTTGCTCGTGAACACATGGTTATAAAAATCAATATCAACATCTTGTTTCTTCGGATGTAAAAAAGTTTAATTTGAATGGTTCAGATCGATATAATCATTATTTTTATGATTTACTAAAGGAAGAGCTCTACCTGAGTCGTCTGCATAGCTGTGGAGGATGTGGGATGTAGTGGGAGCAATTTCGTATTATAAACATGTGAGCTTCAATTCCTTTCATCTAGTAAGAATTGTAATGCCATACTGGAAACAACTTTTTTCACATTTTCGAATATCTTTGAACCCTTGCCGTGGATATTTCAAAAATATAATACCCCGATCCATACCGCCAGGACTGTAAAAGGGTGAATTTGAAGCCAGAATGTAAAAATTTTGGAGTGGCCTTCATAATCTTATCACCTATTTATTATTGAAAAGGTTTCGGATATTCTTTCTCGTAATGTGTATAGGTCGGGTAGACAGTATGACACAAAATAAGCCTAAATTAAAGGAACTAAAAAGGCTTGGACCGAAATTTCCTTGCCATTACTTAAGAATCTTTATAACTTTTTATTATCTCGAATTTTCGGAGTTATATCAAGTAACAGCGGATATGTTCCTTACTAAATCTTTTCTAAAACCTTGTAAAAATGTTTATAAAAATAAAAAAGTTTCATGAAAAATGCAATTTGTTGTTGTTTTTGTCAATTAAAGATGATGAACCTATTCAAATGAGCCAAAAAAAAATATGGTTCAAAAACGTAGTATTTTAGAAAAAAAAAATTTGTAAAAATCGGTTATTAAGAATTGCACTAATGTTTGTCTATCTAGTGATATATAAGACATCATGGTATTAATTAAAATTTTAATATAACGAATTAGTTCATTATTTTTGCAAAAAATTAATTTGAATGTAAACAAAACAGTGAACCTATTTAAGTGAGCGGGAGTATACCAATAGCTTATTTTGTGTGAGTAAATAAACAACTTTTTTTTAAATTTTAAAAAATTGGCTCAATGAGTTTGCATAAAATTAAATTTCCCGTTTTTCCCCTTTTTGGTACTTTTTTCCCCAGTGAAATAGCAAACATTTGGTTTCAATAAATATTACAGAGTTAGTCCGTAATTTAATGGGAATACTTCAATAAAACGAAAATTTTTTCTTAATGTGTTAAAAAAAGTACCAAAAATACAGTTTTTTCCCTTCCTAGGTGTCTCCTAATTTTGGGAGATATATTCAAAATATTTACAAAAATGTTATTTTGTTTATTAATTAAAAAATTATAAAGGGCTAAAAAAGTTACAAATCACCTTTGTTACATATTTTCACCCCTTAAAAGTACGAATTTCAAAAAAGTACCAGACACCCATCTGCTTATTTTAATAGTAGATACACGTGCATTTAAAATTTTTCTTGTATCACTAATATTAGGTAAGATAATTAAGAAAACCTGTTTTACCCGTTTTTTCCCTTTTTAACCCTAAATATACAAATTTCCAAAAATCTATATATATGGATCTATATAACCAAAAACACATCTACTGTCAAAATTTCATGATTCTAGGTTCAACCGTTTGGGCTGTGCGATGATGAATCAGTCAGTCAGTAACGCTACTCTTTTATATATATATATATAGATAGATACTATTTTGTATTATGAATAAAACCGTGAATAATTAATGATTCTGTATATAATTATAAACAAACCTTGCTACATTTCCATAACGTCTTAAAGAAACCGGTCCAGTTTCAAACGACCAATAACCAACTTCAGAAAAATTTAAGGAGGGATGCTGTAAACGTCGGCATAATTCATGAGAACATCGTACTAACATGTGCATGCAATGAGTGCATATTGCTCCCATTATTAAAGTTCCAAATAAGCCCATATATAAACCGGCATTTTTAAAGGCATCTGGCATAGCTAATATACCCGTGCCAATATTACCTTTCAATAAATGTATCATTGTATCTAAATTAGATGTGGGATGATCCAAGGTACGATGCATAGAAGGATTGTAATCGTTCTTATTGTCATTTTCAGTAGTTTCTTCTTCAATGTAAAATAAAGATGCTTATAATTACTCTTATAATTACATAATTTAACATTACTTACCAAAACATTCTTCACTTTGAATGCTGACCAACATATTGTCTGGGGAGTTTCGTAGATCGGGTCGTGGTATAGAACGGGTTTCAATGTCCAGTCGATCGGATTGTAACAAAGGCTGCCTTTCAGTCATTTTTTTCTTAAGCTATGTGAGAAAAAAATCATCAAATTTATATGAACATATGTATATATTTTTTAGATATTCCCTACATTGTACATTCATTTCAGATGTGTCTTTTTTATTCATTATTATCTTTCATTTCTTTATTACTTAAGTATTTGAAGATTGCGAACTTAAGTTTTGAATTATAAAATATAGTAGTACCCTGTAGGATTTTGCGAGTTTACTAAAAATCAAGTTAAAATTTCAATAAATTTGAAAATAAACAAGTGAGAGTGTTATATTCGGCTGTGCCGAATCTCATATATCCACCATCAAACTTTATGCCGTAACAGGAATACTCCCATATAACAGGGTGATATTACTCATCAAGTTTACTTAGGAGTACCTTATATGAGAGGTAGAGTGAATTATTGACCTTTTAGACCCTTTATGGTCAATATGGTCAATTATGGACCGATCCACATAGAATTTGGTAGAGAGGATTTTGCTCGTAAGAGACTTACTTATGTGTCAAATTACTCGTATTTTTAAGCCAGTATTGAGAGTTAAAGTCGCTTTTTGAAGGGGATCTTATATGAGAGTCAATTATGGACCGATCCACATAAAATTTGATAATGAGATTTTGGCTCGAATGGAACTTATGTGTTTCGAATTTCATCGCTATACTCGTATTTTTATACCGACCATCAAAAAAGATGGGGGTATATTGTTTTTGTCATTCCGTTTGTAACACATTGAAATATTCGTCTAAGACCCATAAAAGTATATATATTCTGGGTCCTTATTAAATTCTATGACGGTCTAGCCATGTCCGTCCGTCCGTCTGTCTGTTGAAAACACGATAGAGTCCAAATGGAAGTAGATAGCAAGCTGAAATTTTGCACGATTACTTTTAGTTGATGCAGTTTGTTTGGTATTGACAAACAACATCGGTCCACGATTTCGCCTAGCCCCCATATAAGGCCCCCTTCAGAAAATGATTTTATCGCTAATAACTGGCTAAAAAAAGCATCTATAGCGGTTGAAATTCGGCACAAACATGTTTTATGGGAACCTAAATCTTTTTGTAAAATTTTATAAGGATATACCCATAATTGGCCCTATCCCCCATATAAGGGCTCCTTCAGTAAATGACTTTAATGCTCATATCTGACCTTAAGAAGCATATATAGCAATAAAATTCGACATAAAAAAGTTTATATTAACTAAAATCATTTTCATAAATTTTATGAGGATGGGTCCATAATTGACCCTACCTCGCATATAAGTCCCCCTTCAAAAAATGACTTTATCGCTAATAACTGACTAAAAGAAGCATCTATAGCGGTGAAATTCGGCACAAACATGTTTTATGGGAATTTAAATCTCTTTGTAAACTTTTATAAGGATAGGCCCATAATTGACCATATACCCCATATAAGGTCCCCTTCAGAAAATTACTTTAACGCTCATTACTGACTCAAAAATGCGAGTACAATGGTGAAATTCTACATAAATAAGTTTTGTGCAAGCCAAAAGCTCTCTATCAAATTTTACAAGGATCGGTCCTTAATTGACCCTACCCCCATATAAGGTCCCCTTCAGAAAATGACTTTAACGCTCATTACTAGCTTAAAACTGCGAGTACAGCGATGAAATTCGTAATAAACAAGTTTTGTATGAGCCAAAACCTCTCTACTAAACTTTATGAGGATCAGTCTATAATTGACCCTACCCCCTATAAGGTCCCCTTCAGAAAATTACTTTAACGCTCATTGCTCATTTTAAAATGCGATTATAGCAGTGATATTTTACATAAACAAGTCTTGTGCTAGCCAAAAACTCTTTATCAAATTTTATGGAGATCGGTCTATAATTGACCCTACCCTCCATATAAGGTCGACTTCAGAAAATGACCGTAAAGCTCATTACTGGCTGTAACGCTCAAATATGACTAAAGCCCTTATATAAGATTTACTCCAAAAAATTACTCTAACGCTTATCTATGGCTCCAAATTATGGTAGTTTTATAGGAACTAAAATGTTTCAACAGAATTTGGATACCTTACACCCTTTTGTGGGGAGTTTATCAGCAATATCGATATGCGGCCCTATACGCCACTACTACTGCGGCCACAACTTTTTAGAATTAAGGTGAATTTTATTATCATATCACTCATTTACTAAAAGACTAGAATAATTTAACATTCGTTTTTTAATTGAGTACAACAAAATATACCCCTTCTAAAATTGTTTGTATAACTTTAACTGTTTTATTACCTCAAAAATGTTCATTCTTTTTGGCGCAAGAGCAATTATACCCTACAACACTTTTGTGGGCAGTTTATCTCCAATAACTTGGTAAATTATTTCGGATTTAAGGTGAAATTCCACACAAATATTTTATTTTTTTATAAGGAATAAATCACTGTTCTAAATATAATCATAACCTGTATGCTTCTAATTATGTTCTGTTAAGCTGTTAAGTTACTGACTAAAACCAAAGAATATTTATTATTATTGAAAATGCCTTAAAATCTAAAGAAAAATCGCTAGATTTCCAGCTAAAAATAGCTAAATTGGCGTTAAAGTAATTTGTTTAAGGGGACCTTATATGGGGGTAGGGTCAATTTTAGACCGATCCACATAAAATTTGATAGAGATTTTGGCTCGCATGGAACTTATGTTTCAAATTTCATCGCTGTGCTCGTATTTTGAAGACAGTAATTCGCGTTAAAGTCATTTTCTGAAGGGGACCTTATATGGGCGATAGGGTCAATTATGGACCGATCAGCATAAAAATCGGTAGAGGGATTTTGGCTCATAAGAGACTTACTTATGTCAAATTTATTTGCTACACTCGTATTTTTAAGCCAGTAATGAGGGTCAAAGTCATTTTCTAAAGGAACCTTATAAGGGGGTAGGGTCAATTATTGACCGATCCATGAAAAATTTGGTAGAGATTTTGACTTGCATAAAACTTATGTGTGGCGAATTTCATCGTTATATTCTTATTTTCCCTCGCCTGAGCAACAATCTTGTCGCGATGCGAGCGAGGGCTTACGTATGTATATTCGTGGTCATGGTCTCTCTGGTTGAGGAGACTATTAATACTCTTTCTCACGGGTGGTCATGACTCTAAAGGAATATATAACTAATGGTTGCTCATCCTGTCAGGGTTGTGTCTATTGATAGGTGGTACCTAGCCTATTGATGCATAACAGGACAAAGATGATACGTGACTGACCTTTGCAGGTTCGCTCTTGATTGATAAGGGCTTTACCGTTAGGAGTAGCACGTTATAATTGCACTTTTAAGGTCAAGGTTAGTGGTAGTTGTGCCGAGGTCCTGAGCGGCTAGTTAGTTCGTAAATAATCTAGTCGTTAGCAACTCCCCTCAGCGTCATGGTAAAGCGCTGTTGAAAGTTAGTTGCCTAGCCCACGTATGCCGTCACTGCGTGGGTGGTCCGTCTGAACAAGCCTATTCGTGGGAACAAAAATGGAAAATCAATTAGAAAAAACAAAAAACATAATAATGGAAGGAGAAGAGGACAGTACGGACAAGGGAAATGACGAAAGGGTAGTTAGAAAGGACACTACGGCTTTCAGGGACAGTGATTTTTTAGAGATGGATAAATACAGTATTTTTGAAGGGGACCTGACTTTGACGGACATTCATGCTAGGATCTTGGAGGATATGACTCTGTCTTCCGATGGAGAGCATGATATCAGTGTGATACCTGCTCAAAATCGGTTGGCAGCCTCATCTCCTCCTGCTGGCGAGGACAAGGGGACTCAAAGGAGGCTTTCATATGAAGGTTGTCCACTCGGCGCAAATGACGCCAAAATTTTCCGGCAGAGACAATAAGCTTGAAGTGATTCAAGCATCCGAACTGTCTCTTAGGTCAATAGTGACAGTATGGATCCCATACTGGGTTGTGATGCAAAAGCTCATCACAGTGGGGAAGTGCTGACATCAACAAAAGAGGTGATTGGGTGTATAATTTTATTATTGCGAAAATCTTATAATCTGTAACAGGGGTACTACACCAACGTTCAGGGTAGGGTAGCAGTAATCGACATTACACTAACGAACCGAAATGATGATCTCATTAGGGATTGGAGGGTTGATACGTACTACTCTTTTTCTGATCATAGTCGCATCACCTTCGCATTGAATTTTAATAAAACTAGGCAGAACCCTTTCAGGGATCCTCGCAAGACGGACTGGACAAGTTTCTTCAGCAGGGTCCAGTCAGGTTTGTCGCAGTCTGATTTCTTGGTCCAGCGACCTAAGGACTTGGACAACGCTGTGGATAAACTTACTCACAAAGTGTGCTTTAATAAGTACAAGGGAGATCTCAAAAGAGCAAAACGGAATTCATGGGTGACATACTGTGAATCTGTTGAAAACGTCAATGAGATGTCTAGGTTCAGGCGAATATTATCCAAAGACACAAAGGTCTTAGGTTATATTCAACGTGAAGACAACTCATGGACGGAGTCTAGCTCCGAGACACTCTCTCTACTTATGGAAACACACTTCTCTGGTTGTGAGGACATTGATACTAGGGACGTAGAGCAGGGGCTTTTTAGACCTATAGACTCTAGTCATGGAAATGGTCACATTGATGAAATAGTCACCATGGATAAACTTAGCTGGGCGGTGAACTCAAAAGTCGCCGGGTTAGGATAGTGTTTTTCCAGCGATGCTCTGCAATATCCCTGATGGCGCATTGGTGCTTTTAGCCGATATTTTCAAGAGATGTCTCATAATGGGATATCTACCTAGAGGGTGGAGGGAGGTTAGGGTAATTTTTATTCCCAAGGCTGGTAAGGCATGCCACTCTAAACCGAAGGATTTTAGACCTATCAGCCTATCGTCTTTTCTATTTAAGACTCTTGAGCGACTGATAGACCTTCATCTTAGGAGCAATATTGATACTTTTGAGTGCGCTTCATGAGGTGGTGGGTTGTATTGAGCACGGTCTAGATCACAAAAACTATACCTTGGTCGCGTTTTTGGATATAGAAGGAGCCTTTAATAATATTAAAATAGAGGCCATTAAGGAGTCGTTGGTAACACTCGGCGTTCAGGATTTCCGGGTGAGTTGGATAGTTTCTATGCTTGATAGCAGAGTTATCAACTCAACCTTAGGGGAGGATAGGATTAGGAAAAGAGTTACCGGGGGTACACCACAAGGAGGGATGCTTTCACCACTGCTTTGTTTACTAGCGGTTAACTCGATTCTCAAAATCTTGGAATCCAAAGGTAGGAAAATAGTTGCGTACGCAGATGACGTCGTGATTCTGATTAAGGGAAAATTTCTCCCTACGATCAGTGAGGTCATGGAAGCGGCACTTAGTGACCTATCGAACTGGGCCGGTATAAATGGGTTGGGTGTCAATCCATTAAAAACGGAATTAGTACTCTTTACCAGGAGATATAGGATAGAGAATTTTAATTTGCCGAAGTTGAACGGCGTCGAGTTGAATTTGTCAGACGGAGCCAAGTATCTTGGTACCTTCCTTGACAACAAACTGTCATGGAAGAAAAATTTACAGGAAAGGCTGAAAAAGGGGCTCAATGCCTATTACACATGCAGAAACTCCATCGGTAACAATTGGGGCTTACGACCGAATATGGTAAACTGGATTTACACGTCGGTAGTAAGTCCTATTATTGCCTATGGATGCACGGTGTGGTGGGTAGCTATGAGGAAGAGTAGTTATAGAATGATACTCAATAAAGCTCAAAGGTGTGCTTCCCATTGAGAAATATGTTGAGAGTGTGGCGGCTAGGAATTAACTGAGACTCTATGAGTCATCCTTAGTAATACCTCAGAGGGTAGGTCACACTAAGATCTTGCACGAGGTTTGTCTAACAGGAAATGAAAGGACTACAGATTGCATCTCTGATCATTTAGTTACGACACTAGACTTCGGTGTAACACCCCAAATAGAGTTTCCAAGTAGGGACAGCACTTAAGGCCTTGAAATGTCATGTAGTTAACTCCGGATTAGTAAGCAGCTGCAGGAATGCTATCCGCGATCTATCTGGGATGTATACAATCAGGTTGTGTTGGGTTCCAGGGCACTGTAATATACAGGGTAATGAGATCGCAAACGAACTGGCCAGACAAGGGTCAGATCTGGACAATAATAGTGGAGTTAGGTCGGTGAAACCTCATATCTGCTACTACTATAGGTTAATCTCTGACAAATTCAGGAACTCCACCAACCAATCCTGGCATAGTAGGTTGGATTGCAGGGTATCGAAGGCCAAGAAATGCTAGAGACAGTAGAATATATTTTGTGTGACTGTCCTGGTGTACAGAGTCTGAGGCGAAAATGGCTAGGAAAAACATTCCATGATGACTAAGGAGATGTAGCTAGGTGTAGTATAAGCGACATTCTAGGTTTTGTCAGGGGAGTGGATTGGCTATTTAGGCGTCGGAACTCGTAGAATTCCCTTCCAATACTATCAACATTCTTTCTCTATTAGGATAGAAATTCATTAACTTCAAACTTATCTCTCCGGCTTTTCTGTCTTCTTTCTGTTTATTTTCTTGTTTCTTCTTAAAGGGAATCACAATGGATCCTCTTGGGTCTCCGAGTGGATGTATACCTTTTTGGTATACAAACCTTTTAAACTAAACTAAACTTCTTATTTTTAAGCCAGTTTTCTGAAAGGAACCTTATATGGCGGGTATGGTCAATTATGGACCGATCCTCGCTATACTCGTACTTTTAAAACAGATATGCCCGTTTAAAGCTCTTTTTCGGGGGTCCACTTATATGGGGGCTATCCGAAATCGTTAACCGATTTTGCCGATTTTCAATACCAAATTAAGCTTACCTATAGAGAATATTTGTGGAAAATTTCAACCCTCTAGCTCATTCCGTTCGGACTCGATCGTGCTTTCAACAGACAGACGGACGGACATAGCTAGATCGTCTTAGAATTTAATAAGGACCCAGAATGTATGTATATACTTTTGTGGGTCTATGACCAATATTTCGATGTGGTACAAACGGAATGACAAAATCAATAAAATTTTATACCCCCGTCTTTTTTGATGGTGGGTATAAAAAGTAATTTTTTTATTAAATTTTAAAATACATTATGTTTATCACCAATATCACACGTGAAACTATTAGAATGCTGGCACTTCCAATTTCGTTGACGTGAATACCTTTTATGTGTTTGATAATTAAACACATCGAGTTGAGATATTTTTGAACATAAAAAATTTGTGGAAAAACGAGTCGAATTAATTTTTTTTAACTGATGCGTTTCAAAAACACGAATATGTGAACGTAGTATTAATTTGCAAAAAAATATATAGAATGATTTAGTAAAGCACATTGTAATTTATTTATCTAATAAAGGAAAATGTTTTGGCGCTGCGAAAAATGGACCCACATATGAAAATTAAATTTCACTCCAAATTTTTGTATGCAATTTTTAGGACAATTTTTTATTTTCAAAAAAAAGTAAAACAAATTGCAGTTTTTTTTCGTTATACGATTTTGGGCTCCTTTTTAAATTTTTCTAAATTAGTCCCAAAAGAAAAAACCAAAAATCCACCGAAAAAATTTGTTTTTTTTTTTTTGTAACCTGTGTATTTTTGGGGTCATTTTTTGTTTTTGACTTTGGATTATTTTTTCTGGGGAAATTTTTCGCATACTTTTCCAATACATATTTGATTAAAATGTATCTAACAAAAATTGGCAGTTAGTTAAAAAATAACTAAAAACTAACATTTAAGTAACTAATTTGACTATGGTAAAATATTCGATTGGTTTTATTTAAAATAATCTAAGTGAGTTGCTGGCAGGGTGTATATACATACATATGTACATATATATTAGGGATATAACTTTTATAAAATTTTTGAAAATGTCAAATATGTCCTATCACTAATAGTAAAAATATTATTAGTTTTCGCGATGGTTAAAAAGGTTTCGTCTTTTAACTAAATTTTAAATTCATTAATATAAAATTTAACATTTTTGATATAAACAAATATCATTGTTTGACCCACGACATTTGCACTGAAAAAAAAACGCATGGACAAAAAATTCATATAAAATTATTTGTAAATGGTTTCACAAAATCGATTTGCCTCGGACGCTTTTTGCATAACAATAATAACAAAAGTAAAATGTTTTCGTTGGTAGAACAATACTGGGTACTACCTAGTGATAGTGCTTCATTTTGGATATGCCCTAATATATGTACATTAGGGATATAACTAATTTTGGCCAAATTTTTGGCATACCACTACATGATGGCCAATGTTGTATAAGTATGGAATATAATTTTTTTGATCATTTGGAATCAAAACCATTACGCACCAAGACCAATTTCTTAAATAAACCAACTTTTACCCCCTTTCTACCAATTTTATCCCCTAAACGTTCGAGTTTCCAAAACTCCCTTCCAAATGGATCAATACAATGTCAGTGAAACTTAGTACCAAAAATTCATGATTCTAGCTTTAACGGTTTGGGCTGAGAATAATATAAGAATAAGATGTATTTACCCAAAATAATTGAAGTAGTAATGGAAAACTTTATATCGTTTGGTGCGTGAAGTTTTTTAGCAACCGCGAAAAAATAATACCGCGGTTTTTCATATTTTTTAATGCTCTATTTGACGATGCTATGCCAATTCTCATATTTGCAAAAAATGTCAATAGTTATATCCCTAATGTACATGTATGTTTGTGTGTATAAAATGTTGATAAGGCGATAAATTAGTGATATCATCCTAAAAGATGCCTCCATCAATTGCATGCGAAAATGATAGGAAAAGACATCTTAAAGAATGTTTTTGGAAATTATGAATGTATTTGTTATTTAATTAAAAAATAGAATAATGAATAAAAAACATTAGAACAAAAAACTTACTGATGTTCAAAAAGAAAAAATCCAAATAAAAAATCCAATAATAAAAAGAAGTAATCTGCAATTCAACTTTGTTTATTTTTTAGTTAAACCTTAAAAAAAACAACAAAAATTAAAACGAAAATATTGCTAGATATACATACAGTGAATCAACTAAGTTTTTTGCCTACCTTTTTTTAAGGGAATTTTGTTTTTTGTTCATAAATAAAATTCCAAAAAACAGGTAAAAAGTAAATATATGGTTTCCAATTGAAAATAGAGATTGTGTAGAATGGGAAAACCAAGAAAAAATGTTAAAATAAAAATTTTGGTGCATTTGTTGTTGCATTTTATTATTTTTCATCATAATTTGCACGTCAATAAAGTATTTTGCATATTGAAAGTTCCAGTTAATTTCGTTGGGTTTTTCAAATTATTTTTTAATTGCTTTTTGGAATTTATTGTTTTATTGTTAAAAGGACACGTGTTAAGTATTTTTCAATTGTAATTTTCAAAAATCATATCCTCATTGTGTGAAACTGTGTAGTTATTTGCGTTAAAAATGTTTAAAAGGAAATAATGAGGCAATTCCAATATAAAAAACTAGTTTAGATTTTTTGGATAAATATAAATCAATGAAATTCAATTATGTGAAGGTTAATCAATCATTAAAAAATATAAAATATAGAAATTGATGAAATAACACAAAGAATTATTAAAAAAACACACTGAGTTGTCATTCAAAATCTTTAACTGCCAAAGGAGAGCGACTTGTATTCAAGCAAAAACCATTGAAGTCCTCATTTATCTTCTCCAAAGTCCATATACGAACTTAAAAGAACACTATGTATAAATTTTGACCTCTAAACAGAACTTAGGTTGCTTCGAAACAATATAAAGTGAACTATCGTGTGGTACGGGAAAAATACTTAATTTAGATATTTACAAATAGAGGCGGTTCTCATCACCTAAGATCCACAAAAGCAATATTTTTCAACTAATACATACACTTATATATAGTTAGAACCCAAATCAAGAATAACTATCCAAATCCAACTACGCCCACTGTATTTTATTCATAAAATAAGGCATTCAAAATATGAGGTAGAATATCAAGATTCTAGCATGTAATAGTTCTATAGTGGTATACGGTGATATCCCCATACTTAGAGTGGCTAGGACGGTACTTAGTGTTAGCTTTATTGAATAAGAATCAATATTACACAATTCTAAATGAAATTCACACAGTACTCCCCAAATAGATGGGGTTTCCGTAATGTAGTTTTTGTTTATCAATACAAAATGACCAAAATCCCAGATTATTTTTGTTATAATCTTTAGATTTATACCCCACTAAAATTTTTTTCTAGGTCCAAATCCATTGATTTCCTAATATATCATGTATCCAATTCAAAATTACTTATTATTTTCGAAATTAAATCAAAGAAACGATAGATTTCATGTTAGGTCAAATATTGAAAAATTCTTATAGGTATATAGGATAATAAATCGGTTAAGAAATGTCCAAACTTAGTCGTTCCACTACTAAAATATCTAAAAAATGTTATTCTAATACATAGGAGTAATAAAAATATTAAATTTTATAAAATAATGCAGCAATATCAAAAAATGAACAAAAACCCTAAAAAAGCAAAATACTTTATTGACCTTAAAAATTAACAATACGTTCACATTTTATCAAAAATCTCGTTAATTAATATCACGATTTTACTTTTTATGGTATTTTATTAAAATATAAGACAAATTGCTCTATTTTGCTAAAAATAATTGTTCAGACAAAGTTTTTTCTTAAAATTTATAAAATTTTACATAGGCAAATTACTTAATTGATTCACTGTATGTATGTATTTATTTATGTGTGCATGTACATAGGAATGTATGTATGTATGTACATATGAATATACATTAGGGCGGCATTACAAATATTTGTATATGATAACATTTTTTTTTCTAAATCTTATTTTGAAATTAGTTCTTAAATTAAATTTGATTTCATTTATTATCACTATATTCTAGACAGATATTCTAGAGGCTTATAAAAATAGCCTCGTATATCATTATACCCTATACCACATTAGTGAAGAGGGCCCCCATAAAACCTATCCTCCGAAAATAGCTTCAAAGCTCATTTTGTTAAATAAAGAAGTATATCTACCTAAATTGGCAGAAATCTTATATGAGACTGCGTGAATCTGCCGATTTTTGTAATGATCTGATATAACACGGTTGACCATGCCCGACTATACTTGCCTACTTGTTTTAGTTAATATTACCTCAATAAACCAAACATATAACAATATCGAAACGATATAATGATGTGTCATACACAAAAAATCATAATATACAACATATATTATGTTATTATATATTACGATTTTTTTGTATCACCGACATCATTATATCGTTTCGATATTGTTATATGTTTGCTTTATTGGGGTAATATTAAATAATATTATTATACATGTACATATCTCGGTCTAATTGGCATCGTGGGCGAAAAAAAAATGTTTCATCACCATGTGAAGCTTAGTTTAACTTAAATTAATTAAAAAATGTATTTAATTTTAATTAAATAAAAATTTGGCATATTTGAAGCAAAATTCGGCAAATCACCAATTTTCCATTTTAAGGTAAAAACGCTAAAATGACGACAAATTGCCGAATCTGGACTGATAATAAAGTTCTCTGGTTTATGGGTTTACTATTAACAAAAATGTTTAGAGTTAAACAATACCAGGTTTTAGGTTAGAGTTTAGGTGATATCTGCATACCAACAACGTCGATGATTCCAAATTTTTTCTACAGTTCTAGCGAAAACTTTAATTTTACTTAGTAATCTCAAGCCATTGCTATCGCAATAAATTCCGAACTAGAAACAAGCACATTTAAAGGCTAGACAGCAATAATTCATAAAAAAACATGTTTCGCTATTGTTCACTTTTTAATTAAAAATTATAAGATTGGAACAATAAAATAAAAGTAAGTAATTAGTAAAAATATTAATTAAAATCAATAATTATAGATTTTAACCCGAAAAAATACCGGGATTCGGTATTTTCCAATCCCGGGATTTTCGGGATCGGGATTTCGGGGTTGGCGTCCCTAATATGTACAATATGATTCTTAACTTCGGCTGCCTTATTTTAGTATTTTTTTACAATTTTTTATAACATTATATATTTATATAACATTAGCTCAATTTTTCTGTGTTCCTTGAATTTATGTTATATAAAAAAGGACCTTTTTTTGTTATTATTTCATTTGAAAAAAACGGTCAGACTATTTTTTGAAAATGATAAACCGAAACCCGTTTTTTTAGATAATCCCAAAAAGCGGGTTTTCAAAAAATCGAATAATTGATCTCCATAGTAATGATCAACGAAAAGTAATAACTAATGTTTTTTTATAGCCTTGACATCTAATTTATAGTTTTAGTATATTTATTTATCATTAACCTTTCAATATGACGATCTTCTGTGTCTGTTACATTTGGATGCTAAATTTCGTCTTTTACCAACATTTACCACAGTAAGTACTACAATCATCATTATTTATTCCAATGAAATTTCAATCCCGAAATCCCGAGAATAATGTTGTTTACAAGAAATTTTGAAATGTTAAATTCAGTGAAAATGTACATATGTGCATATATTAAAAGATGCTAAAAATTAGGAAACAAATTGCTATTAAATTATTATTGTTAAGCAATTTATTGATGAAAAACTGATTTTCTGGAATTTGAGGTTTTTGAAGAGATACTAATATATTTAACATTATTATGAGCTAAAAGCCCAAATCGGAAAGTTGGATTATCTAGGGGTAGGTGAAATAATGGCTTCATATCTACCATTTTCAGTAAGGTCCGTCCTTGGAATAAAAAAGAGCCCAGTAGTTTGATTGCAAAGTTTACATAGATGGACAAACAGACAAAGTCGATTGGTGTACTTTTCGGTGGGTAAAGGGCCGATAAAAACCATACCGATAGAAATGTTTCAGGCTTATACATAACATACAATAAAAATCGTGTCGCTTTGCCTCTTTTTAAATTTAATTTCTAATGCCATTTTATTTGTATCTAACTACGCGGTTCCACCTGAAGGTTTTTCTTTCCAGTTTTTTACACAAACTAACTGTCAAAATGAAGGTTTTTCTTTCCAGTTTTTTACACAAACTAACTGTCAAAATTCATTTGAAATTGCTTCTGTGAGGTTTGCTGGAGATAATTTTGAGGATGTCATTCATATTGTATTTATTAATTTTATATCCCATTTACACATACACGAAATCTAGTACTTATGAGATTTCGAGCCAAATCTAGTTGATTTTAACTAGATTTCCCATACAAAACAAAATCTACTTCGTAACTAGATTTCGTTAAAATCTACTCAAAATCTAATAGTTTTTAGTGATGTTACTAAAAAAATACGACGCTACACAAGAAAAACAAAACAAACAAAAAAAATTAAAATGTCAACAAAATTTTAATAAATTGAAAAACACGAATAAAAAGTTTATTTAAAATAGAAGGTAATGTTATTTTTAAATATCTAATTTTTTATTATAAATAAAATGTTAATAAATATCCCATTTTTCCTTCTTATTTTTCATATCAGACACAATTTCAAGAAATATTAGAAAAAATGAAATCTTCCTAAATGCCAAAAATAGTAAGTGTAAACGGCCTAGATTCTTAAAAAGATTTTAAATGAAATCTACTAGATTTCGTGTATGTGTAAATGGGGTATTATTCACAATATTATTTAATTTGAATATATTTTTTAATTAAACAAAACATAAAATTAAGTCAAAATATTTTTTCCAGAAGTACAATAATGAGTTAAAAAAATAGAAGGTTGTTTCAATTTTATTTGTTTCACAAGAATGGAGATTTTTGAAGTTTATTTTATTTTTAAATATTCAAAGGGAGCTTTGCCACACCTAGAAAATGATTTTGACTAGTTTTTAAATAAAAATGTGTAGTTTATTAATAATATATCGTGACCCTATATTCAAAAAGTGCGAACTCAATTTTGGGCAAAGTGAGTTTTTGATGCAAAAGGATTCCTCAATGCATGATCCACGTCTGGTATAAATTTGAAACCAAAAAAGTAATTTTAGCACTTTTAACAACAATTTTTGTTAATATGCTATTTCAAAGTTAAATTTTTATTGAAGAAAATAAGTGCTAACTTCCATACAAATTTTAAAAAAATTTTTAAAACTTCAAATTTATTTAAAATTTATTTTGTATATTAACAAGATGAACATGCTAAACACAAAACAGGTGAAGATTAATAAATTTAATGTATAGTTTTTAAGATATGATCATTTATATATTTGTATATAAAGCCAGTTTTAGACTTTAAATAATGTTTTTCCGAAAAATTTAAAGTTATTTCAGAAATCGTTTATAACACTAAGAGCGGGTTTTTGAGATGGTAATCAAATGCCAATTAATAATCAGATTAGTAAATCTAAAAATAAATATAATCTTATGTTAATCCCCTTTGATGTTTTTGAGTAAAAGATTAAACTTCGCAGTGTTGCCATACAAAACAACAGAAAACGTCACTGTTTGTTATCAAAACAATGCATATTTTATAAAAAAGAAGAAGACAATTGTAATTTTAATATGAAAATTATTGAAAACTTAAATTAAAAACAAAAAAAATATTTTGAAGTGTCCACAATTTATACTAATCAATAAATAGATCATTTTAATGTTTATATTTATAAAAATTGTATTAATTTTTTTGCATCAGCTGTTTACACTTTTGCATTTCGTGCTTAAGTTTAAACCACCTCCATTGGGCGCTTAAACTTGCAAACAAAATTAACTAATTGAGTACTCAAAAACATCTTTCGAGGATTAATTTTAATTTAATCGCTAATCTTTCACCTAAAGATTGGCTCTAAGATCTATAATATTCTATGGTTGCAATTTAGAATTTTGATTATAAAAAAGTCTTTAAATGTGCAAATTATGGAGTATTATTCAAAAAATATTGGTACTTTTTATATTCAAAAACTTTTCATAATTTAAAATATTTGTACTGAGAATAAGGAAACAAGCAGATATGCCATGAGTTTTTCTACTTAAATGGTGTAAATGCATCTTATTGGACTTATTGGTTTGACTTATATCCCTTTAAAAAAAAACATTTCATAAAATTATAAAATAACGCATATTATTAGAAGAAATTTTTGTTCTATTCTTTGAAGAAAACATGCTAACTTAGAACAAATATTTATTTTTTTGTCGACCAAAAAGTGCTATCTTAAATAAGTCGCTAAAATGTGCAAAATATTAAAATTTTTTTATAGGTAAGAATTAGTAAGTATGTTAAAAACGTATTATGGAAGAAATATTGTCTTTTAGTGCAATATTTCACGAATTAAATAGTTTTTTTTGCTTTCCTGAAAACTAGACTTTATTGATTTAGCACTTTTTGAATATAGGGTATCGATATGTATGTCCCTGAAGTTATATATAAATCGGGAAATCCTAAGGCGTAAACTTTGGAGGTCAAAGGTCAAATTTTTCAATATTTGGAAATTCTCATTGAAACATTTTATTATTTTTTTTATATTATCTGAGAAATAATATTCTGTAAATATTTTGTTTAAAATGTATAACAGTAAAGAATTATGAAATACATATGTATTTTGTAAAATATTGTAATTTTTTCAACATACACTCCCGCTCACTTAAATAGGTTCACTATTTTGTTTACAATTAAATTAATTTTTTGCAAAAAATAATGGACTAATTGGTTATATTAAAACTTTAATTAATAGCATAATGTCTTATGTATCACTAGATAGACAAACATTAGTGCAATACTTAATAACCGATTTTTAATAATTTTTTTTCTAAAACACAACGTTTTTGAACAATATTTTTTGGCTCATTTGAATAGGTTCATCATCTTTAATTTACAAAAACAACAACAAAATGCATTTTTCAATAAACTTTTTTATTTTTATAAATATTTTTACAATGTTTTAGAAAAGATTGTGTAAGAAACATATCCGCCGTTACTTGAGATAACTTCGAAAATTCGAGGTGATAAAGAGTTATTAAGATTTATAAGTAATGACAAGGAAATTTCGGTCCAAGCCTTTTTAGTTCCTTCAATTTAGGGTTGTTTTGTGTTATACTGTCTGCCCGACCTATACACTTTACGAGAAAGAATATCCGAAATATTTTCAATAATAAATAGATGAGAATATTATGGAGGCTACTTTAAAATTTTTACATTCTGGCATCGAATCCATCCATTTACAGCCCTGGCGGTATGGATCGGGGCATTATATTTTTGAAATATTTACGGCAAGGGTTCAAAGATATCCGAAAATGTGAAAAAAGCTATTCCCAGTATGGCATTACAATTATTACAATTCCTACTAGATAAAAGAAATTGAAGCTCACATGTTTCATAATACGAAATTGCCCCCCAATACATCCAACATCCTCCACAGCTATGCAGACACCTCAGGTAGAGCTCTTAATTTCAAAAATCATAAAAATAATTATTATATCGATCTGGACCTTCTAAATTAAACTTTTTTTATCCGAAAAAACAAGATGTTGATATTGCTTTTTGTAACCATGTGTTCATGTGCAAACTGAAGAGGGTTTTTCATTATAGCTAGGCTTGCTGTAACACCCACTTTTTATTATATTTTTGCTGCAGAATCACTTGACTTGGAGCCAGATGTTATGAAATCTCTTCTGTCTTCTTTTGTTATGACTCTATATGTATGTTTATTAATGTTTTCTTAACATTCAGACTGTTTTCTTATAAATTTGCGAATAACATTCTGAATTTGCCCAATTTTTTTTTTGCCAAATTCCTGTGATTTTGGACAGTTTTCAAAAACACAAAAATTTTGCCATTTTATTCTTCAGTCAACCGCGGCCTATTTTTTAAAAAATATATATCTATATTCACAGACACCAGAATATGAATGGATTTTTTCCACTGCCAGCAGTAAACTGATTTTATTCTGAATGAACCTAATCAAGTGAACCAAAAAAATATAGCTAAAAAACGTAGTATGTTAGAAAAAAATTGCTAAAAATCAGCTATCAGGTATTACGCTAATTTTTGTCTTACTAGAGATACCTAAGACATCATGTTATTATCTAAAATTATAAAATTACTAATTAGTCCTTTACTTTTTGCAAATAATAAATTTGAATATGAACAAAACAGTGAACCTTTTTAAGTGAGCGGAAGTGTAGGTTTGTGTTTTACATCTTTTTGAAATACTAAATCTATGTAGGTACTTTATGATTCTTTAACAATAATATTTAAAATATTTACCTAATAGCAACATTTATCACATAATATCAAAATATACGAAAATACTCCGCGACCAGATCACGTTTTTGGAGACAAAATCTGTTGTAACTCTGTTTGACTTAAAGTAACAAGAATTATGTATATAATATTAATTTTGAAGTACAATATTAGCTTTGTACTAAGCGTGTTTCTATTATTTACCGTTCTGGAATTATAGCTTATATAGCGAGCTCAATATCGCAATATCTGGAAAAGGGAATTATTTTGTGGGGTTAAGACGAACAAGATTCCTATATTTTTTTCACCCCATATAAGATCTGGTCAGTACATATACAATATCATTAACAACTCTCGCAAAAATTATTAAAATACATGGTGGTTTAGGATCTAGGTTTATAGCCTTGTGAAAAATTTCATATATGTATATATAATTATAATTATCAATCATAATTGACTACAACTTTGAAAAGTGACTGTTATTTACATTATATGCATATGCTCTATAATATGCATAATAAAATTTGTATGGTTACCAGTGGAAATTTACACAAAAATATTAGCTCACGTTTGTTTGTTTGTTATGCATAGCACTGATAACAATGTGTATTAAGCAGAAAAATTTTGAAGTCGATGCAAAACTTTTTATAATATTTAACGATATTTACAATGTGAAATGACTTATTTTTGATAAAGTCTCTTTTTTGTACTTTATAGTTTTGATTTCATAGAAATAAGACAGACCACCCTAATGGTCATATGTAAATACATACTTATGTATGTACTTATGTATGAATGGGATGTGTGTCGAATGAGAAATGATGAATCTGAAAGTACTTAGAAAATTAATGTTATGATATAATTTGTATGATTATGTTCCAATATTGTACATGCACTCATTGATCATCTGTTTGGAAATCGATTAAAAATACTCTATAAATACCTGTTGAAGATTTGTCAAGGGTGTTAGATCCTCCATTTATTTTTTCAATTTATTTACTCCTTAAAATAAAATTATTTAGAGGGTTACTAGATTTATTATAAAATAGATAAATCAATATTTTTTCTTAATTATAGTGTCAACTATTTCATTGAATATGAAACTAAATTTTTAATTGTTGAGTCAGTGATTACGGCCACAGATATTGTTACTTGCTTTGTTTAGAATAAAATGTTTACATCTGAACAAAAAGACATTCAAGCAGAGCCCTGCGCCGACAAATATTAACGTCGGCGGCGACTAACACTAAATATGTCGGCGGCGGCTTAAAATTGACTGTAAGCCGGCTAAGTTTTCAATTACGTTTAGTTTTTAATTTTTCTACGATTTTAAATAAAAACGGAATCCGAGAGATCAGAAAGTGGGATTTTGGAAGCAAATATATTGTTTATAACAACAAAACAGAGCAAGCTCAAAAGTTGTGTGAGAAATTATGCAGGGATGAATAAAAAATTCGTAAAAATTAAAAACAAATCCTTTCTCCAAGTTTTACTAGGATCTACCGATATTTAACCCTATCCTCCATATAAAAAAATTGCAGAAAATCAGTTTCTAAAAAATTTTTCATTAAGAAAATGATCAATAACGTAAAAACAAAGATTTTTTATTTGTTTATTTACTAGCTATACCCAGTGTGCTGTGCTACCCTAAAAGCAATATAAATAAGAAACCCACTTAACGATTTTGATGATTCTAACTACATTGGTTTTCCAGATATACAATTTGTTACATATGGGAGATTCCACGCAAATTATTGCAATTTTGATAATTATTCCGAACGTTAGTTAAGATTTTAATTTAATCTATGAAAAATTTTAATAATCTAATAGCTTCCCAGATATACAAAATTTTGTATTAAATTCATATGGGAAGTGCCAAGCCCCCCATTGAAAGTCCGCCCGTTATTCTCTAAATGTTCTTCAGTAAAATTTGAAGATTCTAGCTCTAATAGTTTCTCAGATATACGAATTTTTCTATTTAATCCAAGCCCCCCAGATGAAAGTCCGCCCTTTTTTCTCCAAAATGTTTAGATGAATATTAAAGTTCTTCGTGCAAAATTTTAAGAATTTAGTTCTATTAGTTTCCCAGATAAACGAATTTTTTATTTAATTCATATGGGAGGTTCCTCTCCCCTCATTGGTAGTCCCCCAATTTATTACCCAAAATGTTTACATGGATGTTAAAGTTCTTCCAGAACAACATCATTTGAAGGGATCACAAAGAGATTGAAAAATATTCCAAAAGTTTCACTTTGAAAACATTCTTAGAGTGTATGAAAACTCGCAACTCTAAAGGCAGACTATTCCTATTTTAGCGGTAATTTATGATTAAAATAAGTAAGAAGTAAGAGTTATATTCGGTAAATCATATGTCGTAAAAAAGCAAATTTTGGAAGTGGTCATATACATATATATATATATATATATATATACTATCTTGTACTGATATGATTTTCAATCGAAATAAACTTGATAAATATATTGCTTTCAATAAAACAGTCATATAATCGAATAGTGTGTAATTTGAAAAACATTTTTCTATTACACGTATTGTAAAAAGACAGAGAATTGTACCAAATATATTGAAATTAATCAAAAATAATCAAAATTAATCCTTGAAAATAATCAAATTAATTATTTGATTAATTCTGATTATTTTTGATTATTTTCATTAATTTTAATTAATCCTGATTATTTTTAGATTAACTTTAATCGTAATCAATTAATAATCAGAAATTTTATACCAGAGAATTAAATAATCATTACGATTATTTTTTAAAAATAATTTAATTGATTATTAATCGTAATCGAAATTTTACAGCTATGATTATAATGAACCTAAAAACACAAAACTAAGCAATCAGAGACTTGAGTGAATGAAAATTTAAAATGGAGTATTTCTGGTAATTTTTCGTTCTTTAACTGGTACTTTTTGAATTTTCTAAAATATTGAATATATAAACATAAACTTAAACACGCAGTATCCTAATTGAATGAAAATTTATCTCGCTTACATCCATTTTGCAAAAAGCTCTCGATATTAATCGAAATCTCTATAGGCCATAATTGACCCTGCCCCCTTCAATAATTGATTTTAACGTTTTCTATGTATTTTTGTTGGAACGAAAATATGTAATGTAAATATGTATATGAAATCTTCTTCAGAAAATGACTTAAACGCACATAAATGGCTTTTAAATTTCGATGTCTACGAAAAAAATATTTTTAGGAACCGAAACCTACATTTATGAAAAATAAAATTATGAGGATCGGTCAGCCAATATATATATATATATATATACATATATATATATATACACTATCGGACAAAATAAAGTGCAAAAGTACTCATGTATATTCTTTCAGCGAAAAATCGGTTAAATGATTATTGAATATGGAATTTTTTTCAAAATCATTTAGTTTATATACAATGCTACAAAAATAACAATAAAACTAAATTATTCTACTTAAAATTTTTCTGCATAACATCTAAAATTAAAATAAATTCACTTTTTTGTCGGACAAAATAAAGTGTAAATTTTATATATCATTATTTAAATTTCTTGTATATCAAAATTTTTTATCTATTTTGGTTCTGATTTTAATATCTGTATCTATTTAAGCAATTTTGTTCTCCATTATTATTCGCAATCGCTTTCCCTTCCCCTTGCTATCCCCATATGATAATTTTCAAAAGAAATACGTTTTTGATCACTATTTCATCGGAATTTTTTGATAAATTGTGGTCCAAAATGAATATATTGGATTTAGGGCGGTGCTCTGAGCAACTTATTTCAATTTTCAGTGATTTTTCCTACAGTAATGTTATTTTTTAACTTTATCAAGTGCTTAAGCTTATTATCTTGCCGAAATATAAAGTTGCCCAAGTCCATTTCGAAGGCACTGATCTTAAGATTTCACTGCAATATGCTCATATAGTGTTCATTGGAGCTTTTTGAATAAATTTCACTTAGGTTCCCCACACCTAACGTTAAAAATTGGACACTTACGAAGAGTCAACTGACCCATACCTTCAATCTTTCACCAACATATTTAAAAGCTTAAAATTTTTTTTCGAGTATTTAATTTCATATTTTTTAGATCAAATTTACGTAGTTGGTCAGATGAGTCCCAATTTCTACCGAAAATTTTGAAATGTCGACAATGAGTGTGAATTAAGCCCTTCAATATACAAAATTTAAAAAACAATACCCCAGGTTTCAAATATTATGGTGGAGGGCTATCGGTATTGTTACATTATTCAACTTTAAGAGCGAGAATCTTAGTGAAAATGGAGTAACTAATAACAAATGAGCAATTCACGAGCTTATTTAATAAAAATTTGGAAATAAATGCCGTAAAAATGGGTTTGGGAGACTTAATGCCTCAACCGATTCATGACTTCAAACACACGACTAAGGTTAAAAACATTATTGTAAAAAAAAAAAAACACTGAAAAATTTGAATGACCTGCTCAGAGCATCGCCCTAAATCTAATAGATTAATATTTGACCACAATTGATCACAAAATTCCGCTGAAATAGCGAACAAAAACGGATTTCTTTTGAAAATAATAGTATGGGAGAAAGCAAGGGAAAGTGAAAGCGATTGCGAATAATAATGGTAAAATAATTACAAAAATGACTTGAGTAGATCCAGATATTGAAATCAGAACCAAAATAGATAAAAAATGTTGATATACATAAAATTAAAATAATGATATATAAAATTTACACTTTATTTTGTCCGACAAAAAAGTGAATTTACTTTAATTTTAAATGTTATACCGAAAAATTTTTGGTGGAATAAATTTGTTATATATATTATATATATATATATATATAGTTTATATACAATGCTACAAAAATAACTATAAAACAAATTTATTCCACCAAAAATTTTTCGGTATAACATTTAAAATTAAAGTAAATTCACTTTTTTGTAGGACAAAATAACGTGTAAATTTTATATATCATTATTTTAATTTTATGTATATCAACATTTTTTATCTATTTTGGTTCTGATTTCAATATATATATATATATATATATATATATATATATATACACTATCGGACAAAATAAAGTGCAAAAGTGCTCATGCTACATTATTTTATCGAAAAATCTGTTAAATGATTATTGAATATGGAACTTTTTTTTAAATTCATTTAGTTTATATACAATGCTACAAAAATAACTATAAAACAAATTTATTCCACCTAAAATTTTTCTGTATAACATTTAAAATTAAAGTAAATTCACTTTTTTGTCGGACAAAATAAAGTGTAAATTTTATATATCATTATTTTAATTTTATGTATATCAACATTTTTTATTTATTTTGGTTCTGATTTCAATATCTGGATCTACTCAAGTCATTTTTGTAATTATTTTACCATTATTATTCGCAATCGCTTTCACTTTCCCTTGCTTTCTCCCATACTATTATTTTCAAAAGAAATCCGTTTTTGTTCGCTATTTCAGCGGAATTTTGTGATCAATTGTGGTCAAATATTAATCTATTAGATTTAGGGCGATGCTCTGAGCAGGTCATTAAAATTTTTCAGTGTTTTTTTTTTACAATAATGTTTTTAACCTTAGTCGTGTGTTTGAAGTCATGAATCGGTTGAGGCATTAAGTCTCCCAAACCCATTTTACGGCATTTATGAAAGATTGAAGGTATGGGTCAGTTGACTCTTCGTAAGTGTCCAATTTTTAACGTTAGGTGTGGGGAACCTAGGTGAAATTTATTCAAAAAGCTCCAATGAACACTATATGAGCATATTGCAGTGAAATCTTAAGATCAGTGCCTTCGAAATGGACTTGGGCAACTTTATATTTCGGCAAGATAATAAGCTTAAGCACTTGATAAAGTTAAAAAATAACATTACTGTAGGAAAAATCACTGAAAATTGAAATAAGTTGCTCAGAGCACCGCCCTAAATCCAATAGATTCATTTTGGACCACAATTTATCAAAAAATTCCGATGAAATAGTGATCAAAAACGTATTTCTTTTGAAAATTATCATATGGGGATAGCAAGGGGAAGGGAAAGCGATTGCGAATAATAATGGAGAACAAAATTACCAAAATGGCTTAAATAGATACAGATATTAAAATCAGAACCAAAATAGATAAAAAATTTTGATATACAAGAAATTTAAATAATGATATATAAAATTTACACTTTTTGTCCGACAAAAAAGTGAATTTATTTTAATTTTAGATGTTATGCAGAAAAATTTTAAGTAGAATAATTTAGTTTTATTGTTATTTTTGTAGCATTGTATATAAACTAAATGATTTTGAAAAAAAATTCCATATTCAATAATCATTTAACCGATTTTTCGTTGAAAGAATATACATGAGTACTTTTGCACCATATATATATATGTATATATATATATATATATATATATATATACATATATGTATATATGGACTTTGATCATTAGATTAATAAGAACGTCACCGTGATTTTCGGATTATGGGCTTAAATGTGGAATTGGATCAATTATGGACAAAGTTCTCTATAATTTAAAGTATTGTTTTTAATTCTACCATAATTCTATCATAATGATAACTTTTGGAATGATGTATTAGCTATAAACAGATTTTCTGTAAGAGGGTTATATTGGCTGACCGATCCTCATAATTTTATTTTTCATAAATGTAGGTTTCGGTTCCTAAAAATATTTTTTTCGTAGACATCGAAATTTAAAAGCCATTTATGTGCGTTTAAGTCATTTTCTGAAGAAGATTTCATATACATATTTACATTACATATTTTCGTTCCAACAAAAATTGTTTTATTATGGTATTGATAAGTACATAGAAAACGTTAAAATCAATTATTGAAGGGGGCAGGGTCAATTATGGCCTATAGAGATTTCGATTAATATCGAGAGCTTTTTGCAAAATGGATGTAAGCGAGATAAATTTTCATTCAATTAGGATACTGCGTGTTTAAGTTTATGTTTATATATTCAATATTTTAGAAAATTCAAAAAGTACCAGTTAAAGAACGAAAAATTACCAGAAATACTCCATTTTAAATTTTCATTCACTCAAGTCTCTGATTGCTTAGTTTTGTGTTTTTAGGTTCATTATAATCATAGCTGTAAAATTTCGATTACGATTAATAATCAATTAAATTATTTTTAAAAAATAATCGTAATGATTATTTAATTCTCTGGTATAAAATTTCTGATTATTAATTGATTACGATTAAAGTTAATCTAAAAATAATCAGGATTAATTAAAATTAATGAAAATAATCAAAAATAATCAGAATTAATCAAATAATTAATTTGATTATTTTCAAGGATTAATTTTGATTATTTTTGATTAATTTCAATATATTTGGTACAATTCTCTGTCTTTTTACAATACGTGTAATAGAAAAATGTTTTTCAAATTACACACTATTCGATTATATGACTGTTTTATTGAAAGCAATTGTTCAATTCACAATCAAGTTGTACATTGTACCTACTAAAGTGTAGTAACAGTGATTGTGAACAGATCTTTGCAGCAAGTCATAAGTTTATGTTTTCAATGAAAAAAAAAAAACAATCAAAACAAATATACATAACAATGTCAGAATATAAAAAAATCAAAAAAATATTAAATTAATTAAACATGCGAAATAAACCAAATTAATTTCTTTGAATTTTCAATGCTTTTATATTCTTTATTCCACATTTTAAACTAATAAATAAACAGTTTTTAATAAAATTTTAGTTTTTTTGTTTTGGTAAACAGCTGTTTGTTTTTGATTTCAGTGTTACCACTTTATCGTTTTTTATGCTAAAATCGTTTGAATTTTTTGTTTATATGTCGAAATAAACAATTGGCAACACTAAACTTTCTTACAACATTCGAAAAACATTAGAAAAATTGTCGTAGGATTTGTAAAGTGCTTTTGCACAGAAAATACCAACAACATTGTTATGACTATTGTAGCAGCTGCTGAACAAATATATTTATCAAGTTTATTTCGATTGAAAATCATATCAGTACAAGATAGTAGAAAAAAATTACTGCAATCTTTTCGAAATGGGTCTCAAAAAATCCGTAATTTTAAGTGGATTAGCGGAAAAATAATTAAATTTTTCTTAGAGTTTTTTGATTATTTTCATTAATTCCAATTACATAATCCATGATTATTTTTAGATTATTTTTAGTCGTAATCAATAATTAATTAAAAAAATTGAAAATAATCGTTAATTAATCATTAATTTTACATTTTTAATAAAAATAATCTAATTAATAATGATTACGATTATTAATCATTATTTTACAGCTATGATTATAATATAAAATTCAAATAGAACCAGTTAAAGAACGAAAAAGTTCCAAAAAGTCCCGTTTTATATGTTCTCACTTACTCCATGCCCTACAGGTTTAATTTTATGTCTATAGGTTCAATATTATAGAAAATTAAAAAAATACCTTTTGAAGAATGAAAAAGTACCACAAAGTCCCTTTTATATGTTATCACTTAATCCGGGCTGTACATTCCTAATTTCATGTTTCTAGGTTCAATATTATAAGAAATTCAAAAATTACCAGTCGAAGAACGAAACAGTACCAAAAAGTCCCCTTTTATATGTTATCACTTAATCCGGGCTGTACATTCTTAATTTCATGTTTTTAGGTTCAATATTATAAAAAATTCAAAAAGTACCAGTCGAAGAACAAAAAGTACTAAAAAGTCCCTTTTTATAGATTATAATTTACTCCGGGCTCTACATATTTATTTTTATGTTTCTAGGTTTAATTTTATGGTAAACTCAAAAAGTACCAGTCGAAGTACGATAAAGTTCCCATTTTATAGATTCTCATTTACTCCAGGCTCTAAGTGCTTAATTTCATGTTTCGAGGTTTAAATTTTGTAGCAAGCTCAAAAAGTGCCAATCAAAGAACGAAAAAGTGCCATTTTATAGATTCACATTTACTCCAGGCTCTAAGTGCATATGTCGTGTGCACCCTGTAATAGAGCTACTGAATAGAAGAAGAAGAAACTTAAACAGGTGGCAGCACAATGAGAAAGGGATTTTTTTTTTGGAAAGAAGAAGATGTATAAAAACAAAAACAAATAGCTTTAGAAAAAAATTTTATGTAGGCAAACAAATTGCTGAAAATTTGTTGAAGCCATATTGGTAACCGAGGTTTCTAGATGCCAAAAGGAAAAAATGTCGGTCCTTTTTGATTTTTGCTCGGAGAGAAGAAGAAGGTGGAGTCTGTGGCCATCATAAAAAAAAAAAAAAAAACTAAATTTTGATTTTTTTTTATAAATTAAATAAAGTTTATTGAAAAAAAAAATTTAAACTTAAAGCTAAACTTAATGCTAAACTTAAAGCTACACTTAAAACTAAATCTTAAAATATAAAAAATAAAAGCAAAAGAAAAACGAACAAACCTGCAAAGCCACTGCAACACGACTCCATCCAACGAGGGAGAAGCTGTTTTCCAGCACCACCACGCCTGGGGTGCTCTGGTATCAGTTTTTGGTTTTCCGACTAAGTGATAGATTTTACCTGGACGACAAGACGGACGGTCAACTATTCCTTTTCTTTAAGAAAAATTCTTATTAGTTAGGATAAAATATCTTTATACAATAGGAAATCCTTACCCCGTGTTGTCGTATCGTCGCCATCCCGTGTGAAGTTCCAATTATATCCACGCGTGCGCGAACATTAGGGTAGAGCTCTGGCCTAGAATATAGTAGTTTACGGTGTTTGAGTCCTAGGTTTCCTGAAATATTATAAAGATAGTTTCCCTGAAAATAAAAAAAAAAAAAAATAGAAAAAATAAATAAAAGGAATAAGGTAAAAATAGATAATATTTTGTCCACTTACCTGGTTTACCCGAACGGACCTTAATACGGACGGACAGGAAAGCCTCATCCGCCAAAAGAACTCTTCCGCTCTATGATTGCCTCCCGTAAACCAGCTAGTTGCAGCAGAAAACACTTGCCAGATCCCGTTTATCCACAAGCAGAGAAATTATGAACGTTGGGCGCCATTTATGTAGTGTAGTGGTTGTGCAAAACAAAAGAAACTAGTGTTGCCAGAGTGGTAGCGGCGCTGGTATGCTCGCGTTCGCCGGGCTTGGAGCTCGCCGGATGGGGGTGGTTCTTGCTACCACTCTAGACACCTACACACACACATAAAAACCATACCAGCTAAAAGAAATAAACGAAATAAAATATAAAGGGCACCGAGTAGGTTTCTGTCTGTCTCCCTGATGAAACGTTCCTACGACCTATAACGGCTGGCAGATGTTGTGCCAGGATAAACCCTCCCACTCGGGATTGGATAATCCCGCCATGACATCCTAATATTAGGGATGTCCCAAAATTTGCCCTGCAAACTTTCCTTTCCCTACTTACCGCCGCTTATATTGTTTAACCGATCATTTTAATTGATTAAGACTTTTAAAAATTTCATCTAAACATTATAAAATTTAGTCTTTATTATCGAAATTAATTTCAACGGACTTTAACAATAACAATAGATTATTTAGATTTAAAATTTCGTTTGGCTTTAATTTTAATTTCAGATTTAGCTTTAAAAATTTAGGTTTTAAAAATTTAACATTTAGATTCAGGTCTAAATTTAGGTTTTAATATTTAAAATTACAATTTAGCTTTAGATTTAAATTTAGGTTTTAAAATTCAAAATTAAGCTTTAGTTTTAGATTTATGTTTAGGTTTAGATTTAGTTTTAGATTTAGGTTTAGATTTAGTTTTAGATTTAGGTTTAGATTTAAATTTAGGTTTTAAATTTATGTTCTCAAACTTATGTTTACGTTTCTTAAAAGTTCATAATTTCTCTGCTTGTGGATAAACGGGATCTGGCAAGTGTTTTCTGCTGCAACTAGCTGGTTTACGGGAGGCAATCATAGAGCGGAAGAGTTCTTTTGGCGGATGAGGCTTTCCTGTCCGTCCGTATTAAGGTCCGTTCGGGTAAACCAGGTAAGTGGACAAAATATTATCTATTTTACCTTATTCCTTTTATTTATTTTTTCTATTTTTTTTTTTTTATTTTCAGGGAAACTATCTTTATAATATTTCAGGAAACCTAGGACTCAAACACCGTAAACTACTATATTCTAGGCCAGAGCTCTACCCTAATGTTCGCGCACGCGTGGATATAATTGGAACTTCACACGGGATGGCGACGATACGACAACACGGGGTAAGGATTTCCTATTGTATAAAGATATTTTATCCTAACTAATAAGAATTTTTCTTAAAGAAAAGGAATAGTTGACCGTCCGTCTTGTCGTCCAGGTAAAATCTATCACTTAGTCGGAAAACCAAAAACTGATACCAGAGCACCCCAGGCGTGGTGGTGCTGGAAAACAGCTTCTCCCTCGTTGGATGGAGTCGTGTTGCAGTGGCTTTGCAGGTTTGTTCGTTTTTCTTTTGCTTTTATTTTTTATATTTTAAGATTTAGTTTTAAGTGTAGCTTTAAGTTTAGCATTAAGTTTAGCTTTAAGTTTAAATTTTTTTTTTTCAATAAACTTTATTTAATTTATAAAAAAAAATCAAAATTTAGTTTTTTTTTTTTTTATGATGGCCACAGACTCCACCTTCTTCTTCTCTCCGAGCAAAAATCAAAAAGGACCGACATTTTTTCCTTTTGGCATCTAGAAACCTCGGTTACCAATATGGCTTCAACAAATTTTCAGCAATTTGTTTGCCTACATAAAATTTTTTTCTAAAGCTATTTGTTTTTGTTTTTATACATCTTCTTCTTTCCAAAAAAAAAATCCCTTTCTCATTGTGCTGCCACCTGTTTAAGTTTCTTCTTCTTCTATTCAGTAGCTCTATTACAGGGTGCACACGACACATAATTTCATGTTTCTATGTTCAATTTAATAGAAAACTCAAAAAGTACCTTTTGAAGAACGAAAAAGTACCAAAAAGTCCACTTTTATAGATTCTCATGTGCTTAATTACATGTTTCTAAGTTCTAAGTCAAAAAAGTACCAGTTGCAACATCGTATTGGGAGCCCGTTATTATGTATTCATATGTATAAGTTAATAAACCAAAAACAATTTTTTATAAAAAAGTACCAAAAATAGGTACAATTTTCACCTCTTAAACGTCCGAATATTCTCTACAAAGCTATAAATTTGTATAAAGTCGGCTTAACAATTGTTTCTTGTAAATATTCGGCCACCATCAGTGTTGCCATATATTTTTTGAAGAAAACTTTTTATTTTTATAAAAAAAACTTTTTTTCAACAAAAAAAAACTTTTTTTGTACTAAAATTAGAAAATACCCAAGAAAAATTAGTGAAAAAATGATAATTGGTACAGAACTTTTCCTTAACATCAGTAGCAAGGAATTACTGGATATTGTGGTCTTAGACACCATAAATTTACACTTGAAATGTCATGATGAATCTATGTAGATTCTGTGTACTACAAGAGGAAACCTCTGAACTTTTGTAACTACCCGTCATTGGGAACTCGAAACACGAAGATTTTGTCTTACCCAGACCCAGATGATATCTTCAAACACTCACCGATTAATCCATTTATCTTCATGCGCGAATTTGGCCTAGTATGGTGAACCAATGGGCTGCACAAAATCTCTACAATATGGTCGAAGTGCATTGTGTCCTTAACGTCTATTCTAAGGGATTAAGGTCATCAACACCGGTCAATTTTTTTCAGTTTTTAGGAATATCTCGAATATTAATGGTATAAAATATTATTTTGTTAATGGTTAACATTGTTTTTTTATTTTAAACTTATTTATTGATTAAATAAAATAAAAACTGAAAAACTGTATAAATTTTCAAAAAACTTTTTTTATTGGAATAAAACTTGAAAACTTTTTTGAATCTCAAAAAACTTGCAAAAAAAGGGAAAACTTGACATATGGTAACACTGGCCACCATAGTGTTTGGAGACAACAAGAGCTTCACTGAAAGGCACACCAGACAGACATCGCGCTCTATTATGGGTGTATGGTAGTGATTCTGCTGAGATCAATGGTATAATAATAAGTATGTATCCCAAGGATACCCCCTGAATACGGCAATCAGCTTCCGTCCATTGCCTCTAGGTGATAATATACCATGTCATCACTAGCCGACCGACCACCACCCGCATAAGCGGCATTCGAATATATCAGCTGATTTTGACAATTTATATTCTATTTTTAATTTGTATTTATCAATTTTAATAAACTAAAGTTAAATTGTGAAAACATAAATAAAAAACTTAAAAAAACGAAAAGTTCTATGTAAATTAAACAAAAATATTGACGCGTAAGAAGCACAGCCTGTAACAAAGAAGGCTTTGAAATAAATTTTTTTTGAAAAAAATAAATTAAGGAAATTAATAACGAACATGAAAAAGTAAGTATTTTGAATTTTTAATAAACTAATTTATAATTTTAAACATTTTTCCACATTAAAAAGACAGCTTTGATTACATTTATAGGTTATGTCATATGGAAAAACACAGGCAGGTGTGATAGCAAATATTATGAATCATATGTAAAATAATAATTTTGACATACATACATTCGGAAGATTTTTATCAATAGATAAAAAAAGTGACAGTGCATATGTAAAATACATGTCGTCTAATACCACCTTTTCTAAAATGAAAATGTGTCTTCGTTCTTAAAAATAACGAAGCTTTACGTTTTTGTAACGAAAAAATAAATTTTCATGTGAGTGGCAACGAAAGAGCTTTAGTTTTCCATAAAACTAGACGATATGCAAAGACCTTTCGTTTGCCCAAAAAACAACGAAAATGATACCAAAATACAAAATAATATGTGGCCACTTGAACCTGAATGCAATTTGCAATACAAACCTTTACACCGTGTCTATATTAGACAAATATTTATTATGCTAAACGTCAAATTGTTATCATGATAAAAAATTAGCAGGTACAGACGGCATTTATTATTGTTATAACGTCACTATGACGTCATTTTATTGTAAAATTTGTTTAGAATTTTGTTTTTGTGCAATTAAAATTGATTTTTAACATAAGTTTTAGTGAAATTAGTGTTTATTTACAAAATTTTCATTTAATTTTAATTGTTTTTATAAAATTTAGCATTATTTCAATAAAATTATCTGTGAGTTGTCGTGATAAAATCATCATTTTGTTATCCTATGCATTAACATAAACAAAAAACTGACAATTTTTCTGCCGACGTTTTGTCAAGCATCGTGATAAATATTTGGCTAATATAGACACGGGGTTAAATTTCTTGTCACATTTCATACAATTTTCAAGTTGTTTAAAAAAAAAAAAAAAAAAATTGTAAAATTATTTTGTTTTTGTTTATTTTTTACACCAAACACCTTAAAACTACATGAAAAAATATTAAAAATTTCTGAAATGAAATACGTAGGCAATAATATTCTGTTACGATAGAAAAAGCTCATTTCATTTTAGACATTTTTAAGCGAAAGCTTTCAAATGTTTTATAAAAACCTAACTTTAAACTTGATCGTAATGAAATGAGATTTTCGTGTGAGAACTAAATTGTTTTAGAAAAACAGACTGTTACTGTCAAACATAAATAATAAGAAGGTGACAGTAACTGCCGGTCCACACTAGAAAACTATTTTTGGGAAACTTTTGATCTCTCGTAATCGATTTTATTTTGTCAAAAACATTTCCTTTTACTATCAATAACAACATTATATAACTTATAAACAGTAAAGAAAAATTTTAAGAATTAAAAAAAAAGTTAAAAAATACTTTACTGTTTATAATTTATATAAACATTGTCTCAGATAGTGAAAGAAAATGTTTATTGTGATTTGGAAATTCACTAAAATAGGTTAGTTAAAATTAAGAAAAATTCTTCATTAATTTAATTAATGAAGAAGAAATTTCTTCAAAAACAACTAACAAATTATTCAAATTAACTCCTCAATTAGTTATAATGAATAAAAAATATTAGTTAATTTAACTAAACATTCTTCATATTTACCACCCCTAAACAACTAAACGATATTAGTAAATAGAACAAATTTCTTCATATTAACTATTTACAAAAGTACAAAAAATTGACGAAAAAATCTGTAATCTGGAATAAAAATTTCGTTGGCTGTACAATAACAAAGTTTCTTCATATTTACGCCCCATTTTGCAGTATTTAGGTAAATTTTTGGTTCTGTGTAGACGGGCACAAACAAATCAATGCAATTAAAACGTAGTTTCTGAAACAAAAGATTCTATGTGTAAACATTAAGGAAACTTTAAAAGAGAATTAAAAAAAGTTTCTCAACAAAAGCTCCCTATGTGGACCGCCACAAATTAAACTGTGACATTTTTTTATAATAATAATCCCATGTCTATATTAGATAAATGTTTATCACAGCACTTGACAAAACGACGGCAGAAAAACAATTGTTTAGACAACACTGTCATAGCGATGCTATAACGCTAATAAATGCTGTCTATACCTGCTAATTTTTTATCTTGGTAACAATTTGACGTTTATCCCGTGTATATATTAGACAAATATTTATTATATTTGTCTAATATAGACACGGGGTAACGTTACTTTTTTCACAGACGAGTTTTGTGTATCAACGACACACATGTAACTGCCAGTCCACACTAGGAAACTTTTTTTGGGAAACTTTTGATTTTGCGTGAGAGAGAAAGAGAAAGAATATCATTCATCTCTCTCGCGGTACGGAGTTTCTCGTACTCGGAAACTTGTTTTGTTTTGTTATTCTTCTCATTCGTACAACAACAAATCAATGCAATTAATACGTAGTTTCTGAAACAAAAGTTTCTATGTGTGCACATTAAGGAAACTTCAAAAGTGAATTAAGAAAAAGTCTAAGTCAGGTCTAAGAATGTTAACTGCCAGTCCACACTAGGAAACTTTTTTTGGGAAACTTTTGATTTTGCGTGAGAGAGAAAGAGAAAGAATATCATTCATCTCTCTCGCGGTACGGAGTTTCTCGTACTCGGAAACTTGTTTTGTTATTCTTCTCATTCGTACAACAACAAATCAATGCAATTAATACGTAGTTTCTGAAACAAAAGTTTCTATGTGTGCACATTAAGGAAACTTCAAAAGTGAATTAAGAAAAAGTCTAAGTCAGGTCTAAGAATGTTAAGGCTCAGTTAGTCTCTACGTTCCGTTCCGTGATTAATCAGCTGATTCATTTTTGGCTTACGAAAACCTGTGTAAGTCGTTAGTTTTGCCGTAACGTTGAAGTTGCGTTGCGGAAGAACCTGTAGGAAATAGAATTGTAGAAATAGAAATTATCATACTAAATGTTATGAAGTTTAAAATTAAAAAAAAATCGAAAAGTAAGAGAAAAAAGCTCTGAAATATGTCAAAGAAAATATAAAAGTTGGCATTACTTTCGACAGAAACGCCATAAAAAA